CAGATCGCTTTCTTCTTCACCTCCTCCCTCATCTCCGCCCTCAGCTCCGTCCCCCTCGGGCTCCTCGCCTCCTTCCTCTGCGCGCAGGCCAATTTCCTCATCGGCGTCTGGGCCTCTCTCCAGTTCAAGTGGATCCAGCTCGAGAACCCTAGCATCGTCCTCGCGCTCGAGCGGCTCTTGTTTGCCTGCATTCCCTTCACTGCTTCCTCCATCTTCGCTTGGGCCACCATCTCCGCCGTCGGTATGAACAACGCCTCGTACTATCTCATGGTCTTCAACTGCGTCTTCTACTGGCTCTTCGCCATCCCGCGCGTTTCGTCCTTCAAGGCCAAGCAGGAGATCAAGTATCACGGTGGCGAGGTTCCCGATGACACCTTCATTCTCTGCCCTCTCGAGAGCTGCTTCCTTACTCTATACTTGCTGTTCTTCCCTCTCATGTTTCATGTTGCCTCCCATTACTCGGTCATGTTTTCATCGGCTGCTTCGGTCTGCGATTTGATCCTGCTCTTCTTCATTCCCTTCCTGCTCCAACTCTACGCCTCCACCAGGGGAGCACTTCGGTGGGTTACTAAGAGCCCGCAACAGCTGCACAGCATTCGCGTTGTCAATGGCGCTCTCGCTCTGGTCCTGGTTATCATTGCATTGGAAGTCAGAGTTGTTTTCCATTCCTTTGGCCGCTACATTCAGGTCCCGCCTCCTTTGAATTATCTTCTTGTCACCACAACGATGCTTGGAGGAGCAGCTGGTGCTGGTGCCTATGCGTTGGGCATGGTTTCCGATGCTTTCAGATCCTTGGTTTTCACTTCTCTGGCCGTAATTGTTAGTGCTGCTGGAGCAATTGTCGTGGGGTTCCCCATACTGGTACTCTTTTTTCCCTTCCTCCACTTACTTCAACTGCTGAACTAGGTGGTGCCAGTGTCTTATTGTCATTTAACATCTCTTATAGTCCACCAATTGTTGTTTATGCGAGTTTTCCTAAAAATTCTAGGCTAGTCTTAGATAGCTTATTTATTATGCTTGTTGGTGTATGATTGTCTGTCGTCTTAAGCAAGCATAGTCTCAAATAAATGTCTGCAACTATTGATCTCGTTATGTTCTTACTTCTGCAGTTCCTTCCTTTGCCATCAGTTACGGGCTTTTATCTAGCTCGGTTTTTCACAAAGAAGAGCCTGCCATCATACTTCGCCTTTGTTCTTCTTGGGAGCTTGATGGTTGCATGGTTTGTGATGCATAACTTCTGGGACCTGAACATATGGTTGGCTGGCATGGCCTTAAAATCTTTTTGTAAACTGATTGTCGCTAATGTTGTGCTTGCCATGGCTGTTCCTGGGTTAGCCCTTCTCCCTCAAAAACTTCATTTTCTTGCTGAGGCGGGTTTAACCTGCCATGCATTGCTGCTGTGCTACATCGAGAACAGATTTTTCAATTACTCGGGTATATACTACTATGGACTGGAGGATGATGTGATGTATCCAAGCTACATGGTTATTATCACAACACTTGTTGGATTGGCTTTAGTGAGGAGGTTATCTGTTGACCAACGAATTGGGCCAAAGGCAGTTTGGATTTTGACTTGCCTGTATTCTTCAAAGTTAGCCATGATGTTCATATCATCAAAGTCAGTTGTATGGGTTTCAGCCATACTTCTACTTGCTGTTACTCCTCCCATGCTCCTTTACAAGTAATTTCCGTTTCATCTTCCTAACACTTACCTTTCTTATGTATGTTGACTAGCTTTGATCATCATTTTATTCTATCACGCATTCACAGTACATTGCTGCTGAACCATTTTCCAGGGATAAGACCCGGATGTCCTCCAAGATGAAACCATGGCAAGGTTATGCCCATGCTAGTGTGGTTGCTCTATCAGTGTGGTTCTGCCGCGAAACAATTTTTGAAGCCCTCCAATGGTGGCAGGGGAAATCTCCATCAGATGGTTTGCTTTTGGGCTTCTGCATTGTTTTGACAGGATTGGCTTGTCTCCCAATTGTTGCTCTTCACTTCTCTCATGTCCTGGTTCGTTTTTCTTCTGATTTCTGCAATCAATTTTTCAGCTGTGTGATATTCGTTTGATTAAATGCAAGAAATAACACTCACAGCAGAACCTAGAGATCCACCTAGTTTCTACCGGCTCAATGATTTTGACCATGTATGCACGATATGATGAAATTACTGATTTGTCTAGCAATAAACTGATGGCTTATGGCGAATAATCTTAATTTTCAAGTCCTTCATAAATTTGCTCTATGCTGGCCAGAGTAACTTTGGCAATGGCATGGACCTTATAAAGTAGGGATGCAAGTTATGTATAAGTAGATGATTTTGACATGCATGCCTGATGTGATTAAATTACTGGTTATCCTAGCAATAAACTGATGTCACATACTGAACTTAGAAGACCATTATAAATTTGCTTCATGCGGGCCAGCCTCTAACCTTGGCATGAACATTAAGACGTAAGTATGCAACTGATGTATAGGTAAATGAAGGTTCTGAATGATAGTATGGCATTACTGTGAACTCGGGTGGTGATGACTGGTTTTTTACTGCAATATCCTGTTAAGAAATTGTTGTTCTTGGTTGGTCATGTTACTAAATAATCTGATCTCTTTTTTTTTTTCTTCGTCTTTTGCAGTCTGCCAAGAGATGCCTAGTGCTTGTGGTGGCAACTGGTGTATTATTTATCTTAATGCAGCCACCAATCCCGATGGCATGGACTTACCGATCGGATATGATAAAAGCAGCTCGTCAATCTTCTGATGATGTCACTATATATGGTTTCATTGCATCAAAGCCCACCTGGCCTTCATGGCTGCTTATCTTAGCAATCTTGCTTACATTGGCATCCGTGACATCTTTCATACCTATCGGGTACATTGTAGAGTTGAGAGCATTCTATTCGATAGCAATGGGCATTGCACTAGGCGTATACATATCAGCCGAGTACTTTCTTCAAGCTGCAGTTCTGCATGTGCTTATTGTTGTCACAATGGTCTGCACCTCTGTCTTTGTGGTTTTCACTCACATCCCATCTGCTTCAAGCACAAAGCTACTACCATGGGTGTTTGCTTCGCTTGTAGCTCTCTTCCCTGTAACTTACCTGTTGGAGGGTCAGGTAAGGATTAACACCATTCTTGGAGATAGTGTAGATTTGGGAGAGGAAGACAGGAGGCTCACCACTTTGCTGGCTGTCGAAGGGGCCAGGACTTCTTTGCTCGGCTTGTATGCAGCAATCTTCATGCTAATAGCTTTGGAGATAAAATTTGAACTCGCCTCACTTATGCGGGAGAAGTCAGTTGAAAGGGGCGGAATTCGACATAGTCAATCTAGCCAAAGCAGTTCTGGTTTTGCCCCAAGAATGAGGTTCATGCAGCAGCGCCGAGTGTCCACTGTGCCAGCCTTCACCATCAAAAGGATGGCCGCTGAGGGTGCATGGATGCCAGCAGTAGGCAATGTGGCTACTGTAATGTGCTTTGCGATATGCCTGATCTTGAACGTCAATCTGACAGGGGGATCGAACCAAGCTATATTCTTCTTGGCTCCCATTTTGCTGCTTCTCAATCAGGACTCGGATTTTGTTGCTGGATTTGGAGACAAACAAAGGTACTTCCCTGTTACGGTCGCCATATCTGGCTATTTGGTGTTGACTACACTATACAGCATCTGGGAGGATGTATGGCATGGGAATGGTGGATGGAGCATCGAAATCGGTGGTCCTGATTGGTTCTTTGCCGTGAAAAACTTGGCACTTCTCATACTCACATTCCCTAGCCATATCCTCTTTAACCGTTTTGTGTGGAGTTTCACGAAACAGGCTGACACCACGCCTCTAATCACCCTTCCTCTCAACCTGCCTTCCATAATAATAGCAGATGTGATGAAGATCAAGATATTGGGGGTTCTGGGGATTATTTATACAATAGCACAGTCTGTAGTCTCAAGACAGCAATACATCTCAGGATTGAAGTATATCTAGTGGGAAGAATACAAGCTGCTGTAAGATATCTAGACGAGAATATTTCAACTGTTATGAGTTGAGGGTTTTGAAATGTTAGATCCAGATTCTTCGCATGTCTGCCGTAGTGAGCATCCGACTCCATCTCGAAAAACTTAGCTTTAGTAAGGTAGTGTTGGTAGAAACTTTGGAGCATCTTTATTCAGAGACTGAGCCAAGAAGTTGGGGGTGCAATCAAAACTGGCAGGAGAGGCAGGCAGCAGTGAATGCTATGAGGTGTGCTTCTGGAGCTCGAATTAGAAGGTGATGTGATGTCAATCAAACGGGACATTATTCCATTTTCATGAGCTAGAGCGGTGCACCCTTTCCAGCACCTTTGTACGTACGTTTTCTCTTGTTATGGTGTCGACGATGTTTTTGACATAGTGTTGCTTATACGACGTCATGGCCTTGACTGATTAGGATTAATGCTGTTGTACTTCGAAGATGTCTCAGTCTCTGTTTGGTTGATTGATTGGTATAGTGTAACATGGGATGGGATGGAGTCAACCGGATTAACACTTTTTTTCTGCAAAATCAGTTGCTTGCTGATTCTGAGGCAGTATCTTTTCTCACCTGTCCAGATCCCTGCTCTCTCCCTGTTTTTGAAGTAGTCAGTGAAGTTAGAATGTCTAAGTGAATCAACTAGCTTCAACTATCAAAACCAACCCCTTTTTAGTGTTTGTTTAAAGCTTCTAATATGCCGCGGCCATAACCGCCACAAGACCTAATAATGCAAGAGCACCAAGCCACACATGAAGCTTCCACCAATGCATATCGCAAATGCCTTGCAGCTTAGCTTCACCAATGGTCAACCACATCTCCTTAGGAACATAATCTAAATCCATCATATTGTATGAGCAATTTATACCAAGACAATTTGAGCAGCCTAAGAATCAAACTGTTACGAAATCGAAGACCAAGAGTCCAAAACTGTCCCTGATCTTAGGGATAAACCAGCCAGCACCGAGACGGAGGAAACCCTGCCTTGTTTTGGTTATTGAATCAACAGAATGCTCGGTGGAAAATGATAGCACTGATATCCAGGGCAAATTATGGACCAGAGAAAATAATGCAGCAATAACATGCAATTTTGGGGGCTGATCGCTGCACATTGCCTGTTTCATACTGCTAGTCAATAAATATTAAATAGTACAGTTTACATACCGGATACGCAGAAACGAAAATGGGAATACATTCTATTGAACTCTCTCATTTCCCCCCATCTTTTAGAGCCAACCAATCTATCTAGATTCTAGAAAACACAAGCTACAAGCCTATTCGATCGCAGGTATCCAGTATTCTTTCCTGTAGCGAACCCATCTTGGCATAAATATTCCATATACGGCCGAGACAACCAAGATTCCCAGCAGCTGCCACTTTGTTGTTGTTCGCATGGCCGAAGACCTGGTCGTATATACTTCTAATAACCTCCCCTGCTGGGACACTCCGAAGCTCTATGTCCAGATTGCCCACAGCTGAAACATGAACCTCCGAATGATCTGGAATACAAGACATTTTACAGTATTGTGAACAGACATAATTGATCAAATTATGCACGAAACAAAACCGGCAAGATTACCCACAAACCTCAATGAAGAAGTCTATTAATATTTGTCGAAAACACAATGTTACTAAACTATCTCAATGAAGAAGTCTATTAATATTTGTCGAAAACACAATGTTACTAAACTATCTCAACTCCTACACTTCACTGGGACCAGATCAGGTCAGTATCCTTGCTATCAGTAACTATCAGTAATCCAATCATGTGTCCCCACGTGTCAGTTTTTTCTTTTTATTTAAATTAAACACGGAGGGGCACTAAGGTAAAATTGCACCCCCTATTTAACGATGTCTCTGACGCGCTGACGCTGACCAGATCACATCAGCGCCTTCTCTCTCCTCAAACAACCTTTAATTTTAAATCTCTTAATCTTTAACGGACGATTTCTCACTCGTTTTAAGTCGGAATTTAATTTTTTTTTTTGCACAATTAGATCATATTAATTGTGCTCTTCAAAATGATATCCACTTTGATATTTTTCAGACATAAAAAAATTTGTCAGTTATTACCAGTCTATACCATATGGTAATGACTGGTATTGACCATACCATATGGTATGAAAAAATTTGTCACATCAATATATATTACGTTACCACCCAATACCATATGGTATAGTGTGGTAATATCAATATATATTACGTTACCACCCAATACCATATGGTATAGTGTGGTAATATCAATATATATTACGTTACCACCCAATACCATATGGTATAGTGTGGTAATATCAATATATATTTCGTTACCACCCAATACCATATGGTATAGTGTGGTAATATCAATATATATTTCGTTACCACCCAATACCATATGGTATAGTGTGGTAATATCAATATATATTTCGTTACCACATAATATCATATGGTATATTGTGGTAATATCACACAATATCATACAATACCATATGGTATAGTGTGGTAATATCAATATATAATTCGTTACCACACAATACCATACATTACCATATGGTATAGTGTGGTAATATCAATATATAATTCGTTACCACACAATACCATACATTACCATATGGTATAGTGTGGTAATATCAATATATATTTCGTTACCACCGAATACCATATGGTATAGAGTTATAATATCAATATATATTATCTAAAAGAAAAAAAAAAACAGGAGATAGAGAAAAATCGTCTTGTGTCGCCTCTCATTTCCTCTTCCGCAATCAAGAACACCAAAATGCCGAAAAAATGAGAAAGATCGAAATTGAGGCCAACGAGATGATAAAGAGAAGAAATGCAATGAAAAAGAGTGGCACCAATTTGTATTCGTTATGTAAAAAAAAAATAAAGAAGAAGAGAAAGGAGCAGATTTAGATCTAGAAATGAGATTGAGAGAGAAAAAGGAAGAGAGAAGATCTAGAAAAGAGATTGGGAGAGAAAAAGGAAGAGAGAAGGAAGATAGAAAGTTACAGAGAAGTGATTTCTCTTTCCTTCTTTAAAAGTGCAGCCATTAAATACGAAATAAAATAAAATAAAAAATTTAATGTATAAACGGACAAAAATACCCTTCCCTACTCAGCATCCGGCCCAACCACACGATTGCATGCCTCTTAGATCTATGGTCCCTATTCATTACTGACATGTCAGTAACCAAGTGGTTACTGACCCTATCTGCTGCCCACTTCACCAACAAAGTACCCTCACAGCCATGGGAAAAGAACAACCATTCAGTTCCTCCCTAGTGATTCACAATTAACAAGTACAGGAGAAAAGCATATATCGCAAAGGCTAATGCAATTGGTGATATCAACTATGCATACTCTTCTGCCGAAAATGTAGAAGGTAATAGTCTATCCTATCATGTGTAGACGTACCTGTCTCTATTTGATGATTCCGAGCTCGACCTCCTTCCACCCATCCCCCAACTGCTGCCACTGCTCCTCGATTAACAAGTAAATGAGAAAAGCATATATCGCAAAGGCTAAAGCAATTGGTGGTATCAACAATGCATACTCTACTGACAAAAACGTAGAAGGTAATAATCTCTGCTCTCATGTGTAGACGTACCTGTCTCTATTTGATGATTCCGAGCTCGACCTCCTTCCACCCATCCCCCAACTGCTGCCACTGCTCCTCGATTGGCTTCGACCGCCACGCCTACCAAAATCATCATCATCGAAATCTCGACCACCACCACGCTGCGGGGGTCTAAAGCTCCTCTGGCCTCTCGAACCCCCCCTAGTGAAGCGATCCCTGCTAGAAAACCGACCATAATTATCTCCAACTGGTCCATCATCTTGCAATGCAGGCAACTGCAAAACAAATTGGCCAAAGAATACAAAGTATCCTAGGAATCAGCACACATCAAGACCATTGCCACTAGAGTGCCACCAAAACAAATTACAACCAGATAATTGCCAAAACTGTGACCAGAATCATAACTACCTTGGTGATCTTGGAAATAACGTTTCCAGGAGGCAATTGCATTTTCAGCAACTCTTTTGCTATCTCCTCAGGCAGGTCAAACACTGCTCCTTGAACCTTAACATAGAACACAATTACTTGTTTTAAGCCAACTAAAGTGAACACTGCATGAAAGGACTTCGCAATGGCTAAAATAACGCACCTTTTCATCAGCAATTACATATATTTTCCCAACTTCATCTGCTGCTGTAGGATATACATCTGAGAGGAAACCAGTCACCGACCTAGGTGAAAGGAACCCTCTAGCATAATTCGGATCCCTAGTCAATTGCAATGTCACAGAGCCCTGCGAGAAAGGTTTCACAATCCAATAACCACAGCTTAGTACCATAAAGCAAACAGAACATCTCATTCAAGGTACTATAGCTTAGTACCATAAATTCCAAAACCAAAACATATAACAGTACATAACATAACCAGATGACGAATACTTAAGCATGGAACCTAAGTGAACACCTATGACTTAGTAACATAACCAGGTGCCTCCAACACTTTTCTCCGCTAGCCTCTCACAAGTTTCATTCAAATAAGGCTCATCTCTGAGGGGAACAACACTGTTTCTATACATTGCATACAGACTACAGTCATCAAGTGATCATTCAAATTGCTCCCACAATCAAGTATGTACGAGTGTGGGACGACATAGGTGTGCCTGAGGATGCCTACACACTAGCAATCACACAACACTTGCTAGAGCAAAATATTCACGTTCCTCAAAATCACATCAATAAGAAAACTCATACTAGTCTCTGGAAAAGCAGAAAAGAGAGAGCAGAGAATATTTTGCAATTGCAAAACCATTCCCACAGAAACCAAACAAGAAAAAATTGCAGAAGATCATTGTTCCCAGAACCCACCCTAGCATGGAATCTTGTAATTGGTGCGGAAATATAAAGCTATTTGTTCACCTTCTCGTGGCTAATAAGAGATCTAGACGACGGAGGCTGCGTGAAACCACTCAAATGTGCCAGAGCCGAAGCAAGGGCCTTTGTTCCTTGTTCTTCTAACAATTTTTCGGCAGTTTGCATAAAACATTCTGCAGATTCAGGATGAACTCCACGTAGAGTAGCAACCACATGCTCTGCTGATGATTCTAGAACCTCTTGAATGCCTGGTGAGCCAACAAACTCAAACCTGCATCCAACATCACGCTCGATAGATCTAACGGATCTCCTTTGACTGTTGGAGAACAACAAAATGGTAGTTCCCAGCTTCCCTGCACGCCCAGTACGACCAGAACGATGCACAAAAGTCTCCGAATCATTTGGAAGCTCATAGTGAATAACCTAGAGAAATGCAGTACATTTCCATCAGCGTTATCTTCCGACTAGCAGGGCAGTAAGAAATACCAGCAAGTTGCATCTGATCAATTAAACATGGGTAGACAATGAACAATATATGCACATCGCAGTGGCTACTACTAGCCTTTAGGTCCATACGTCCAAGTTCCAACTCAACCATGATGCTGCAAATGTCCATAAGCTACTGGCACTTATACTAGGCCCAGAAATATAAAATATTATTTATTATTGTTAAAAGGATAGAAAGTTCATCTAACAGAGCAAAAAACTTCCATACCAGATCGACGTTCGGAATGTCAAGCCCACGAGAAGCAACATCTGTTGCTACAAGCACGGTGAATTTGCCTTGACGGAAACCATTCAATGTTCTCTCCCTTTGATGCTGGGATATATCTCCGTGCAGAGCCTCCGAAGCTATGCTATTCGACAATGAAATGGAGACTTCATCGGCGTCTCTCTTAGTTTGAGTGAAGACTATAGTTTTCCCTCCTTTTGCATAAACCTGAACATTGGGATCAAATTTAGTAACTGCAAACATATATATGGAGAACAATGACTACTCCTAATAACAAGTGGAAAACAATTAACATCCAGCAGTAAGAGCATGATGCAATCTAAAATTTCAAATTTGATCAGTAACTAGATGAGAGGCATGGAGTTAGGGAGCAATAATTCATACAGTTACAAGATCACTGAGCATGCTGCGTTTTGAAGTGGAGGTGGTAGATATGGCATAAAGCTTGATTCCTTCAGCAAGCTTTTCTTCCTGATCACCAACCTTCATAAAGGAAATAATATGAAATTAGTTAGGACATTAATATTATCCATGCTCACCAAACAAAACTATTACCGATGAGCCTACTGTGCATTCCAAACACAAAATTCTATTTAAAAAATGGCTCCACAGCGTCCACCAAGAAATGGACCAAAAAGACTGAGCACTTAGTCAATTATGTTGGTCAATCTGATATGTTCTCATATCAACCAAGTAACCCAATTTTCAATCCAACTGTTACAAAGGGCACTTCCTTCAGACAGTCAAATGAGCGACTTATAAACATAGGACTAGACAAACTTTAAAAGATAACAAAAGGATTACCAGATCAATTTGCAATGGATCGTCCAGATATTTCCTGGCCAATTTCTTGACCCAAATTGGCATTGTTGCGGAGAAAAGCATGCTCTGCCGTTTTGTTGGAAGGTTTTCCAAGATCAACTCCACATCCTCCTCAAATCCAAATGAAAGCATTTGATCAGCTTCATCAAGAACCAAGTACTGAACCTCCCCCAGTTTCAGGCTGTTTCCTTTAATGAGATCAATGATTCGACCTGGAGTCCCAACCACAACATCTACTCCACGGGTAAGAGCACTTTGTTGCGTCACATATGAAACGCCTCCATAAACACACACAGTGCTAAGGTAAGGTGCAGACTCTTTAATTTCTTTCTCTACTTGCTTTGCTAACTCTCGTGTAGGTGCTAAGACCAAAACTCGTGGAAGCCGGCCAGTTCGCCTGGGGAAACACCATACAAGGTACAGAACATAAGCATATAAACATGCGACTCAACGTAGCTGACAACTTTGGGGCCAACGTCGCCTATTTAAGAAAAGAAGAGAAACACAACACTCACCGTTGTTGGCCTCTTAGTTCAGTGTCTTCAGTGAGGAGCTTAATTATTGGAATGCCGAATGCCAAAGTCTTCCCAGTCCCAGTCTTAGCACGAGCAATGATATCTCGACCTTCTAGAGCCGGAACCAGAACAGCTCTCTGCACCATTACATAGAAAACAACATCATAAGCTCGCCTTTCAAATGGGAATTGAAGTATTCAACCAAAAACAAAAACCCAACAAATGAATTAGTGTAGCATTAGATAAAAAAAGAAGCTTCAACCGCCACCTACAGATGATACACGCCAGTAATTTCCCATGGGTTAGTTGGACATAATTTAGTGACTTCCTCCTTCCAAGTAACAATAAAAAGTGTGAAACACATTAAACTAAACAATTAACCACATACCTGAACAGGGAAAAGGTGAGTAATTCCACGCTTCTCCAGAGCGTCAACCAGACGCGCAGGCAAACCCAGCTTGGTAAGCGCAAGCTCGTCAGTATCATCAGCTGCAAGGACTGTGTCATCCGCCAAGTCGTCTTCATCACTATCGACGCCATCGAAATCGGAGATGCCACCAAGGCCCTTGAAGGCCTGCTCACTGAGAAGGGAATTATTGGGAGAAGCAATGGCGGAAGGAACCGTAGTCTGCCTGCGGGAACCTCCCTCCACCATAAGAAGTGTAAGTCTCCCAACTCCACTTCCACGGCCGCTGGATATAGAAGAACTGAGGAAGCAAGGCTTATCCGGAATTGTAAGGGGGAAGAGGCAAGAGGATGTGATAGTGGGAGCTGTTGCCCTTCTGGTAGCGAGCTCGATAGATGGTGAATGGAACATAGAAGAAGTAACGCCAATACCGGAAGAAGCAGCCATTTCTCCCCCAACAACTTCAAATGCTTCGCCTAATCGTGGAAAGGGCAAGAGGCGAATGGGATGGTGTTTTAGGTTAGGGAGTCGGAGAGGGAGACGATGGCTGCGAGCGGATAAGCTACAGCAGCTGGAAAATGAAAAGGAGATTTTGCCGCTCCCTCTCAAGGAAGATTATATGGTCTATAAGCCCGTCTTGGAGATATTTTTCCGCCGATTTTTCCGGATTTCCCCCTTACCTTTGTTTAAGGCCTCGGCGGCTGCCTGGACTGGGCTCCAAACGAACGAAGAGAACTGGGTTGGGCTTGGGAGTTAAGTTGGCCGGTCCACTGTGGGCCATTAATGATGCATTGACGTGAACAAACCAATTCAAAATTAGAGCAACATGTGTCACCGATTCTATCCAACTCATCTGTAGTTAAACAAGTTTACGTGAAAATTCAGTGTGCTTTATCTGATTTTTTGAGGGAATAGAAACAACAAGAGAAAAGAATCCACTGGAAGGAGCTTTGTCGACCCAAAAAAAAAAAAAGTGAGGAATGGGATTTACGGAAATGGAAGGTTTCAATCTGGCTTTGTTTTGGTAAGCAAGTTTGGAACCTGATTAAGAATCATGGCAGCATAGGAAGGTTATAACCCCACTTATGCTTGGAAAAGTATCATGGCAGTAATATCATGTACAAAATGATTATAAAAAAAAATCTCATGTACAAGATGGAAAGTGGGCAATGGATCTAGAGGACAAATGATTAATGGATGAAGAGAATTCATTACAGAAGGAAAATCCAATTATAGACGATCCACTTATAAGGGTTTCAGAGCTGATTAATCATGATTCAAGATTATGGAGATTGGAGTCTGGAGACATGACTTACTCCAAGCACATTTTAATGGAAAAAAATTCCGAAATACTCTAATTATTAAAAAAATTTCCCTAAATACAGTACTTATAAAGTTATTTCCTAAAGTACAGCAGTTTCAACATCACTGTCGAAGACGAAGACAGTGATTATAATCACCGTTTTAGTCTAAAACGGTGATAACATCACCGCTTTTGACAAAAGCAGTGATGCTATCACCGCTGAGGAGAAAAACGGGGAAACAATCCCCGCTTTCGTGAACAACGGGGATCTTCTGACCGTTGATTAGGGAAGCGGTGAAGGGATCTTGATCGTTGATGTAAAAAACGGTGAAGTGGCGCGGATCGCTGACGTGGACACGCGCGGGCACTTCACCGTTAATGACAAAAGCGGTGATAGCCCCGCTTTCCACGTCACCGATCCGCGCCACCCGCGCCTTCACCGTTACCGTTGGATGCTGTGAGGCGCGGATTGTGGTTTTTCTCCACGATCCGACGCCTCACATGGCGCCACGTCACTGATCCGAGCCATCACCTTATTTCTTCAAGGCGGTGACTTCACTGCTTTTGTTGGACGCGGTGATTAATGCTCCAAACTTTTCCAGCGCCCAAACCCTATAAATACCACTCCCCCCATTCCAAACCACACCACCATTTTATACTTCTTTCTCACTCCATTACTTCACTCTAGTTTTGTTCTAAGTATGCTTTGTGGTTGCGGCTAAGTCCGATCTTCCGCATCATAAAGAATTACTAGAGTTTTTGTTTTGTCGATACTCTTTCTAGCTTTTCGACAAAAAATGGACGAAGAGGCTCTGAGAGTACGTAATTTTTTTTCTTTTGTGATTTTTTTAAAATGGGTGCTGAAATATAAATTGATTTGATTTCTTATTTTTTAATAGATGGGTGCTGAGATATACGACCCTCGATTGTATATCGATCCTGGCCCAAGGGATCGAAGGTATTTAACCGGGCAAGATCAACATCGCTCCCGTGCAATTTGGAACAATAATCCAGTAGACACTAAAATTATTTCATTAGTTTAAAAGTTTTTATTTTGCTTTCTATTGACTGACAACATTGTGTTTTTTGTTTTGTAGGAATCACTTATTCCCATCAGTCATCGAGGGACATGTCGATTGCCCCGTTGGCATGCTCGACTAGCGCCCTATCTAGAGAGGACGGGATTGCACATGCTGAGGCACTTCATGAGGCTTGATATTGACAACGATCTGCTGACGGCAATGACAGAGCGATGGCGCCCCGAGCTGCATACCTTCCACTTTCCCGAGGGTGAAATGACAACGATCTGTGGTTGTTCTCTACAATCCGCATGACCCAGACGCCATTTCTCTTCATATATGCAGCCCAAAGTTGCCACATACAACCCTCTCCAGCATTCTTACAAATGACATGCAGTTGTTTGGTGTCAGAATATTTTACCTTCCATTCGAAGTTACGCCGCATGGTTTCTTCGCTAAAAGCATCTTGCACATCAGCTTTCGAAGTGAACGCCATACTCACTTCCAAATTAGCAGTCGGATTATACATAGGCATGGGCCGAAATTCAGGGGCATCGTTCTGACCATATAAAAATTGATCAGGAACCTCTGTGTAGTAAGGCGTTGGTGCCTGACGGAACGCCACCTCTCTGTCATCGATATTGTCGATATCGTCTGTATCTTCCTCCTCACTGACTGATCTCAAATCTTCCTCACTTTCATCGTCACTGGAGGCGAATGGATAGCTCGGCTTAGGAGGGTCATCGTTACCAGCATAACCAACATCGTCTTCTTGGTCATGCGAAGTACGCCCAAATCGAAGGGTGTTCTCAATGTCAGCCCACTCTGGACCCCAAGCAGGCCATTGATCACCGTCGGGCTGAACGATATCGACGGCAGTCTCAGCATGTTGCGGGTATTCTTCCCACCCAACACCTCCTTCAGAACTACCTCCTCCGTAGTTGCTTGAAGTACCACCCCAGCCATACCCTCCTGCAGAAGTACCTCCTCCGTAGTTACTTGAACTACCACCCTAGCCATACCCTCCTGCAAAACCATCATCACAAGAATACTGGTGAGAATGAGTTTCACTGACCGGCTCGGTCTCGGCATACACCTCTGCAAGTCGCACCCCGTTGTCAGATAGGAACTATATCATCATGTTCACCGCGTCATCATCATTTATGACAACTTTTTCGTACATGATTCCGTCAGCACTCATGTTTGGATACCGGTAAGTAATTTGACAAACTCTCCTTTGCCCGCCCGTACAAGTCCTTTCTGCACAAATGTCATGGAGTTCTTGCCACGAGAATCTCGACTCAATTTTTAGCATAGTGGATTCGCCATTTTCATAGTCGATCCCAATGTTCGAGTTTGTCACCCGACCATTCCACCGAATAATAAGCCGAAACTTCTTAAATTTACCCATGTCTGCAATTTATAATAATTAAGTATAGTATATAATTAGTATATTAGGGATACAAAAACAATATCATCCAAACCCATAAACAAACGCAACTAATTGATCTATCATGAGAAACTAAACAAATTGATCTAAATATCTCATAACATATTTGCCAATAACCGCAATTCACTAAATATAGACATATAATTACTAATACATCAACATGTAAACAATACATAATTATAACATACCGAATCCCGATGAGTTTCTTGTTGTTGTAAACCAACTCCAAACCAGTTGAGAAAACGACCAAAAAAACACTAATTTTTGTACTACTTTGCAGTAAGGCAGCAGGAGGGACGTGAGGGTCGGTTTTTATAAGGAAATATGCCAGCTAATCACCGCAGTGGACAATTGCGGTGAACACATCACCGCTTTTGTCCAAAACGGTGATAGCTAGGTCGCTGTGACCTAATTTTCCATCTACCAGGGCTCTAAAACGTGGTCAAATATCACCGTTTTGGTCGACGGCGATGATGTAATCACCGTTTTGCACAACAGCGGTGATGCAATCACCGTTTTGGACGGCGGCGGTGATATAGTCACCGTTTTGGAGGAAAGCGGTGATACCTTCCCCGTTGTTTTCGAAAGCGGTGATTATGATCACTGTCTTCGTCTTTAACAGTGATATTGAAACTATTATACTTTGGGAAATAACTTTATAAGTACTGTATTTAGGGAATTTTTTTTAATAACTTGAGTATTATGGGATTTTTCCCCATTTTAATCGGATGGATAGAGTTAGAATCCTGAGGATTCCGATTCCCCAACAAACACAAGTTGACCAGCTAGTTTGGGGATTGGAAAGAAATGGGTAATACTCAGTGAGGGGTGCATACTTGCAAAAGACTACCACAAATCACATCTGGAAAAGGTACATACCAGTTAACTAGAATCAGGTCTAGAAATTACGGTAAATTTAAGCAAGAGGTGGCGATGAACTACAACTTTCGGCCTAGAGAAGTGGAGACTAATAACACGTTCGTTGTGCAAAAACTGAGAAATGAAGAGTCGACTAATTTGGAGATAGGCAATGTATGCAGAGAGATCATAGAGAAAGCAATAAGCATCAGGAATGGGCTTGCATCATCTTCCCTTAGGTTTCTTTAATCCGGTCCTTTGAGTAGTGAAAGACAGACGAGGAAAATCCTCTTACTACTACACTTTACCTAATCCATGCACTAGAAACCCGACTACCATTGGAGTCTGGAGATCATTCAGCACACTAAGTTTTAGTTTTGAATGATATCATATATTAAGAGATAACTGGACGGGAATTCACTTCAGAATGATCTAAGTGAACTCGCAATTAACCGAGACTTTACAGACAAGGCAGAACCAACCAACCTAAGGAGTAAGGACTAACCTAGTTAACCAACAACTGCCATCCTACTGCTGAAAAAAGGTATCTTATATAAGATACAAAATGAAGTTTTGTGACAATGATTTCCTCCTATCTAAGCAAGCACGGCATCACCATCCAGCAAGAGCCCAAAAGATCGAAAACAGATCCCTGCCCTTACTGAGTCCCTTTAATCTTTGAGATCTCTTCCAGTAAAAATTTGGATTCAGCAGCAAAATCAACTGAGTTTGCCGCCCTAACTGTGATCCTTTGCCTCTTCTCATGGTTGTACTCATTTTGGGTGACACTGACCCTAAATAAATGAGGATTCCACGTGGCTGCTTTCAGCTTTGATTGGTATGAACTCCCATCATCCTGCCAGCATAGAATTTGTAGCCAAAAGCAAAGATCAGAAGCCATACCCTCACAACTTTTGTTCAAAAGCTATCATCTTTTTTTTTCCCTGAGGGATTTAACTGCGTACCTGTGATCTCAATTGATCAAGTTCATCGGCAGAGCAACCTAGTATCTTCTCTGCTTCGTCATTGAAGGCAGAAACCCATCCTTCACCACTTGCATCAGATACCTTCACTATCAATATATACCTGCAATGGATGTATTACAATGTCAATGATATGTCAAAAAGGGAGGACCAAACTTGATGCATTCTAGGTCTTTCTGAAGGAACGGGGAATGCCAAGCTGACCTTAAGCTGCACTCAGAATCATTCTTCTGGCATCCTTCACACCAGTACCCACCACCGATGGCATCAGTCACTTTCTTGTTGCAAGTCTTGCAAGCCCGGTACCACATTGTCTGGTCAGGCTTTATAAAGCTTACATAGCCTCTGATGTTGAAAAATGCAGGCTGCAAAACAAGATGAGCTCCAAGATTTTATTTCTCAGATGGCATTCAAAGAAATCAACCCAGCCTTTTAAGTTCTTCAAGGAGCAAATGTGCAGAAGTTGTGTGGTATTTATACCTTATCACCGCCTAATGATGGATCGCTTGTTATATGAGTAAGTGGGACACGGTCAGTGTACATGGACCGTCCTCCATTCTTCATAGTAGGGCTCAATCCAGAGCCAATTGGTGCCATAGAGCTATCTTTTCCATCAGACTCGTACCTACTCAATGGAAAGTCAAACCCACAGTAAGCAATACCCAACAGAGACCGTGTGCTAAAGCTGAGCAAGTGATGCATTGTACTCTTTACCATGATCTCAATTTCTTTGATTCTGGAGTTTCAGGGTTGATCTGCAGCATGCTTTTCCCCACTGTGGACAAAGATATACCTGAAATGGCAGATAAAAAGTCATTAAACGTGAAGATCACTGTTCCCTTGCATTAAACCAAAAATCAATGTAGCTTCCTGTAATATATGAAATTATACCACCAATTACCTTGAAAGTCACCAACTCTGAGAGCTTTGATAGCAACTACAGGGGACTTATCAGCCATGTCAAGCAACTCTTGACCAGCACCAGTAGCAAGGTCATTCCACAACGATACAACAACAGTCTTCTTACTACAATTCGATCAAACCATAGTTTGAGTACCACACCTCCACAAAAGAAGAAAATATATGCAACATGAGCTGAGCAAAAGAATTCTGACCTCGCATCTGCAATGGTAACATCACGCTTTGGGATAGGCTCGTTGTCACTTTTCCTTCTAATACTCAACGTAGGGGACACACTTTGAACCACCCCAATGATATCTGAGAAATTGATATTGCAGTGGTAAGTTAGTAAATAAAAAATTAGCACAACAAAGCTTGCTATCATAAAGTTTTTCCATCAAGAGGAGAAAGTATACTCACCCACAAGATCTTTGGAGTTAACATAGGGACCCAGGTGATCAATTGGAACGAAATTGAACTTTGTCTCGGGGATCATAGTTGCTTCACTAGTGACCTCTTCAACCTCAGAGTTATCATTCAAAGTCATCTCATAGTCATTTTCAACAGTCTTATACTGCTTGTTAGCAACTCTGAGAGACCCTTTGGATATGTAATAAACTTTTCCCAGCTGGAACCTGTCATAGAACTTTTTTGCAGCTTCATTGAACATGGTCGCTTGTATTTGGGTACCCTACAGTAGATAAAGGTCCTTAGTTAAACCCACACCAATAGGACTTAAACCAAAACAGCCACATAACATAGTGTCATCCCCTCAACTTACATCTTCATCAGTCAGCTCCACATTGAAAACACACCCTTCACCTCTCATATTCTTATACGTGCGCATATTACCCTTGCTGGTTACCCTGACCTTGATGGTCCAGTTACCTTGGTAAGGATTCAAAGAGACGAGAGGGTGAACCCTTCGAGTCATAGCCATTCGAGCGCTAGGAGCCATACTGCAACCACAATATATATACATAGAAGACATAAATAGAGTATACTACATCAGTTAAACAGAACTGAGAAATCAAAAAAAGCAAAGAGAACTCACTTTCCCCTCTGCTCATGAACGATTTGAATAGCTGATTTGGTAACAGTCCCTTGTTTGGGCTTAAAATCTATCTTCATTGCTTCACTTTCCACTTCGTTTTCTATCCTCGGCGTCAGTACAATCCCTGCATCTTCATTTTTGGGGCCATCACTAATTTCCTTCTCAAGCGCCGGAGAAACAACCTCACATTTTACTACAATCATGTATCTGCACGTAAAATCAAGTGCAAGACCCAGAATCAAAATTAGCTCTCAAAACTTTTAACATTAAAATCAAACCCTAGGTAGAGACAAATGGGTGCCAACTATTGACTCACTTCTCAGCTTTGGTTGGGATCTCGTTGATGGTGTAATCGAGAATCCGAATGAGACCCAGATTCTGAACGTTTCCGGAAATGATCTCGGACGAAAAGCGGGAGTTGAAGAGAGCCTTCAGCTTCATCTTTCCGTCGTTAGCATCAAAACTACAAGCAAATTAAGTAACGCAACCCAAATCAGAATGCTTTCAAATCAAAGCCATAAGAAGTACAAGATTGTATGCCGATTGTTGAATCGTAGGATTCACTGGCCTAATTTATACAGTTGTTTACTAGCTGAAAATGACAGCTGAGATTTATAGGAGAAGGGGAAAACATCGAACGAAAAACCTCTACGGGTCTGATAGAAAACCCTGGAACGAGTTTTTGAGATCTCACTGAAAACAACACAGAAATAAGAACTAAAAAGAAGGGGGAAAGGAAAGGCGATCAAGAGACGGACCCATAAGCTCTGCCTTTAGGCTGGAGATTGGTGACTTGAACGATGATCTCAGGGAGATCAGAAGCTGAGTCGGGCGTAGGGTTGGAGAGCAGAGTGGGGATGGCATCTTGAGTCACTGATTTTGCCGCCATCCTTCTTCTGTAAACTGGGGGCGATTTGCGTCTTCGGCTTCTGTTTAGCTTCCGAGAGAAAACAGAGATAGAAAGGAAAAGAAGAGGGGAGTGAAGAGTGAGGACTGGGAGGGAGGTGGGGCGGGGACGAAAACAATGGACGGAGCCCTTCTTGTAAATCCCAAAAATCGAAAACGTGGGATTTTGGCGCCATAGCGAAGGAGTGGGAAACTCGATTTTGTGATTTGTTTCAGCGGGAAAAATGGGATTTTGGGCGGGCCTCGTTTCAGTTTTCGAGTTCCCTCGAGTCGAACACATTAAAGTATTAAACCTTGTTGGGCGGGAAATTCAATTCCTTTTCATATGCGCGTCAACTATTTGTGCACAGGTTATCGTGTTTTATCCGAATGGTTTTAAGCCTCGATTACTATACCGTTCCAGACCGGTCGGTCGAACCGGAACCGGGCATGCTCTGGAACTAGAGCTGTGAGTTGGTTATGTTAGGCCCTATAACTAGATAGGGGTGTACATGGGTCGGTTGGTTTGGGTTTAACCATTTCAATCACCCGACCCATGCACTACGGTTTGGGAATTATCAAACCCAAACCCACCCAAAAATATTTCAACCCTACGGTTTGTTTCTAATTGGGTTGGGTCGGATTGGCGATATTTTTAAGTAAAAACCCAACCCAACATAAAATATATAATTATTATACATCATAAAAATATTTTATAACTAATTTAAATTTCAAACGAATAAACCAAGGTGAAATATATCAAAATTCACAAATGTTATTTGAATTTTAATAAAATGTGATTTACTTCAACATATGTCTAGTTTTTTTCACGATATTTGTTGAAATAGGCTAAAAAGGTTATAAACAAACGCATCCATAATATATTATTCTATTAAAATTGTACACAAGAAAAAGGATTACGTGAATCATAACTATATTCAATTGATGTCTAAACTTTAAGTCGAATAATGCATTAGATTAGGGAGACCATGATAAGAAAATATGGCAAAATATCTTAATTTTCTCATAAGTATGGCTATATACGACATAAATATTTTTAGATATGAACTCATACTAATAGTTGAAACACGGGTTGGGTCGGGTTCTACGGGTTGTGTGATCCAAAATCCAAACCCAACCCAAAAGAGGCGGGTTGTACAAAAAAAATCCTCACCCAACCCAAAACCTTCATTTTAGCGATAAATACGGGTGGGTTGGATCGGGTTGGACGAGTGGGTCGGTTTGCGGATGTGTTTGTTCATCCCTATAACTAGAGATGCAAGTTTGTTATCGGTGATAAGGATATATAATTAATAATTTAATTGTTCATTTTTGTTAGTTGGCTCCTATTGTTTAGCCGTACCTCTACGGCACTACTCCCTCTATTATGTAACGTGTTGCTAGGGTCAAGCTTGTTTTGTTGTAATCTTGGGTATAAAACTCACACTCCTATTCAATACAAAACATATTATTAATTTCCTACATGCAAAGCAGTCAAAATTGAAATTTTACGTAAAATAAAAAAATGAGGGTGAAATCGGAATCGTAAAATCGTAGGATTTTAAGGTCCATACAAAAATTAAGATGGAATAATATTAGTAATGAAAATCATGAATAACACAAAAGCACATAACACTTACAATGATAACTTTTCAAGGTTAATGTTCCAATTTATCAAGATTAATGTTAAGAGGTGGTGAATCGATAATGATTAATACGTTGATGTGAATTGATTATAGTCCATGGTGGTTAGTGTGAGAGAACTAGATGATGTTGGTGGAGGAGAAGAAAGAGGTGTAATTTTGCAAATTATGGGGAAAATAAGTAAAGTTCACTCAAAGATTTGAATCGTAAAATCATAAGATTTTAAAGATTTTAAGGATTTAAATAGTGAATAGTGTAGGATTTTAAGGTCCATAGATTTTATAGTGATATAAGAATCGGAATATGTAAGTAAAATCGTAAAAGCGTAGGATGTTAGGATTTAAATCGGATTTTTAACTACTATGCCTACATGGTATCGAGTTGCGCTCCGATCTCCTTAATCCTATCTTTTCTCGCTAAACTCCTCTTCTTCTCCGTCACCATGTCTCATAACTCTGGTGAATCCGTTATCAATCTTGACAATTCCAATACCATCATCACCCTCAATCCCGCTACTCAACTGCCCAACAAACTCACCGCGCGACAACTTCCCTACCTAGCGCACTCAACTCATGATTCTTCTTCGGGGGCTCGACCTGCTCAAATACCTTGACAGTTCTCATCCTCAACCTGCCTTCGATGCTCCGACAGCCACACGTACTCATTGGTTCCGTCAAGATCAACTTTTTCTCCACTCTATTCTGGCTTCTGTCACCCCCAGCGATGCCCCCTATGTCCTTTTTTTTTTTTTTTTAGATAAGGGTGATATAGGTTACTTTTTTTTGTTATTAGGTACTACTGAAGGGACTCGAACCTGGGACCTCCAGATTCATGGCTAGTGGTATTACCACTAGACCGATCCCTTGTTCGTATGCCCCCTATGTCACTTCCGCCACATTTTCCCGTGATGTGTGGCTCATCTTGGAGCGTATGTTTTCTAGTCAATCTCGCCAGCGCATGAAGAACTGGCTTTTGTTCAAGCACCTGTGACGAATGAAGACCTGATTCTTCATATTCTTCGTGGTCTCCGTGAGGAGTATGGTCCTCTCTCTGTTGCTCTTCGCACTCGTGACACCACCATTGCCCTCGAAGATCTTCACGATCGACTGGTTTATTTTGAAGCTGACTTTGAGGCGCATCGCTCCTCCTCTGTGCTGGCTCCTACAACTGTGTTCTCCTTTGCTCGTGGTCGCTCTTCCATGACTGCTCGTGGCCGTGGCAATCCCAGTAGTCCTCGCCATCCTTAGCAGATGGCTTCCTCTTCCTACCCCAGCTCTATGTATCGTGGTTTCTCTCCTTCCCGTGGGTTTCCCAATTCGGCACCTCCTTCTTCTACTCCGTCCCTTCTAGGTCGCCCTCACCTCCAATGATAGTTTTGTGACAAACTATGTCACACCGCCAAAGATTGCTGCAAGCTTCGTGGTCGTCCTCAAGCTCGCCACACCATGATTGTCGGCTCCTCCTCCGGTTGGCTCCTTGACTCCGCACCACCAATCACATCACTCCTTATCTTAGTGGCCTCTCTCTCTACAGGCACTACAACAATCCATATGAGGTTATTGTAGGCTACAGGTCAGGCCCAAAAATTACCCACACTGGGAAATCTCATCTCTTTATTCCTTCCTCGTGTTTGGCTCTTCAGAATATTCTTTGTGTTCTAGACATTAAACATCGGTTGTTGTCGGTTGCGCAATTATGCAAAAGTAACCTGATTTCGGTGAAATTCTTTTCTAATTGTTTTGTTGTGAAGGACCTAGCCACGGGGATGCCTCTGCTACGCGGCCAGAATAAAGATGACTTGTATAAGCTGTCAGTGGATTCCCAACCTGTTCGTCTAGCCTTGACCGCCACCACGACCTCTGCCTCCACTTGGCACCACCACCTCGGCCATCCCAACACCAAGCTGTTATCTCGCTTAATTTGTAATCAGTCTCTCACTGCCTCTCATTCTTCTTGTCCCTCTTGCGAATCATGCTCACTTCATAAAAGTCACAAACTTCCCTTTTTTGTTTCAAGTTTGACTAGTACTCGCCCTTTCGATTTGCTGTTCATGGATGTTTGGGCCCCTTGGTGATTGTTGATCATTTTACCTGCTACACATGGCTTTATCTCTTATCCCGTAAATCTGATGTTAGTCATGTTTTTACCACATTCACTGCGATGATTACCAACTATTCCATACTACCATTCATTGTGTTTAGTGATGGTGGTGGAGAGTTCCAAAGACTTTGTTCTTTTTTCCAAACCAACGACATTACCCATCTCCTAACCCTGCCTCACACTCCGCAGCATAATGGCATCGCTGAACGTAAGCATCGCCATGTTGTGGAGACTGGCATCGCCCTACTCCGTACGTCCTGCCTCCCTCTTTCCTTGTGGTCTCATGCTTTTCAATGCCTTGATTCGCAATAACTCATGGATATTGGTTCCTCGCCCTCTCGACCATCACATTGTCGGGTGTCGATGGGTCTTTCTCATCAAACGCAACCCGAACGGTTCAATCGATCGGTTCAAAGCCCATCTCGTGGCCAAAGGCTTCACTCAACGACCCGACATTGACTATCATGAAACATACAGCCCTGTTTTAAAGCCTGTCACGATTTGGACTGTGTTTACTATTGCCTTGAGTCTTGACTCATAACTGGCCAGTTTATCAATTTGATGTGAATAACGATGGCTCAATCCGAATACCACACAAAAGAATCCATTCTAACGCCCAAGTTTGTTAAACCTTAGAAGGGTCCAGTATAGGATAAGCATGTTTAAATATCGACCCGGGCCGGTCCATGTATTACTACTTCAACCGTTTGAAACATTATCTAGCAAATCAGTTTTGGTGAAAACAAAGGTTTAAAACTAAATTACTTTGCAAAGGTAAAATGGATTTGACTCTAGTTGAAAAAACTTCACCCGGGTGTTGCTCCCCTAGCTAACAATTATGACTCGATGACTTGAACGACTGTGTGTGGTTAGGGGGGTCATGAACCGCAGGGGAGTCTAACAAGCAACCGAAGCTACCCTCTTAGGACCTAGGTTAGGGAATAGGAAACGATCCAAGCCACTAATGTGACCCTCTCAACCTATCGACTAGTGGTTAGACTCAACCTTCGAATTGGAGTTCGGATGGCCACCCACAATTCAACCCTAAGTGCTTAATACAAATTAGGAGGGTTGCCCTTTACCTAACCTAGAATAGGAGGCATAGAATGCCCCAGAAAACCCCAACTCTAAAAGAGCCTCTCAAACTAAGGAGGGTTCTCTCTAAACTAGGTTAGAATGGTAATTAGATTGATAGGCTTTCACACAACACAATCATTTCTAAATAATACCTCAACATTCACATTAAAACACATCCACACACCCAAATCATTCAATTCATACAAGTATTTACCTAATTGAAACTAGGGTTTACAAACACCCAAGTGAAAGAAAGGGAATACTTCATGCTAAGAGAAGGACACAAAAGAAGGAAAGGAAAACCATCATGAAGATACAAGTCTTGCTCCTTGTGCTGAAGAAATCACAAATCCTTGCTTGGAGATCAAACCCTAGCTTTTCCTCTTCTTTGGTTTGTCACTTTCTCACTCTGAAATCTGAAGAAGGAGATGTCTTTTCTCTCTAGCTCTATCCCATTCTTCTTCCTTTCAGCTTCACACT